GGAAGTCGCCCACGGGACCTTCCCTTCCTCCCAGGGCGGGGTCTGGTACCCTCTCCTCTCCCCCTGACGCTGGGAGCCCAGCGCCCTGAGTCTCCGAGTGCGAGCAGCCCTGCGTTTCCACCCCGCACCTGGTGGGGGCGCCCTCTCCGCCGCCCGCCCCCGACGGCCGCGCCTCCGAGGACTGGAGCCGGCTCCCCAGCCCGGTCAAGGCCGCCGCTGGAGCGGACCCTGGACACCCAGCCCCTCCGGGGCTCTGCGACGCCGCGGCCCCCTGACTTCCTGAACGTGCTCCTCTCCATAGTTTAAGGCATGTTATGTGTTTCCAGGAGTTTTATGTGACTCTTCTTAAATAATGTCTTGGCCTTAAATCTTTTATCCTTAAATAAATTCTTATTCTCACAGTGTTTACATGTGAAAGGTCTGAAGATGCCTGAGCCTCTAAGGAAAACTCAGGACAAAAGCTTGAATTCCTTTTACTCTGATCCAAGGTCCTCTCTTGGGACATGAATATGAAAAATGACAAAATTTTTTTCCTCTTAATAGTAAAACCTATTTTTTTTTAAAAATGTGGCTGACTAACTTGCCTAAAAATATTTGGAACCATTAAATAGTTCTGTACATACAATCTAAAGAATGTTATTTTAAAAATAAGAATTTGAAATTGTGTTATATTTTTACACAGGATTTGATATCAAGTAAAAAATTGAAAAATCAGAAATGCCCTTTTTGTAATTGGTATGTCTCACAAAGCATTTCTTTTTTTAAATTGATTTTTAGAGAGAGAGAGAGAGGGAGAAACATTGATTTGTTGTTCTGCTTATGTATTCACTAGCTGATTCTTCCTTTAAAATTTTTATTAATTTGATTCAGAGAGAGGGAAAGAGAGAGGAGGAAGAGAGAGCATTTTGTTGTTCCACTCTTTGATGCATCCCTTGGTTGGTTCTTGTACGTGCCCTGACTGGGGATCAAACCCGCAACCTTCACTTATGGGGATGACGCTCTAACCAACTGAACGACCCAGCCAGGACCTAAAGCATTTTTTAAAAAAAGGATCTTAGTGTTCCTTTTCTTTTTTACATTCATCATACAATATTATGAGTTTTAGGCCTAGAGCAGTGATTAGACATTTATGTCATTTACAGAATGATCCCACATAGCTCTAATTACCACCTGGCACCACCCATAGTTATGACAACATTACTGACTATATTTTCTGTTTTATACTGTACATCCCGGTGACTAGTCTGTAACTACAAATCTGTGGTTCTAAATCCCTTCACCCCACCCCCAGATGTCCCTCCTGTCTGGTGAGCATCAACTTGTGATGAAGTAGTCTTTTTTTTTTTTTTTTTTAGACTGGTGGGGAAGAAGAAGAAAAATCTCTGCAATTCTAACTCGTGGGCAGCAGGTTCATTTGGAGAACGATGACTGGTCCTTACAGATAGGGGAGGGAGGCAGGGAAACAAGGTTCTCTGTTTCAAAAATGGTTGTCTCGTGTTTGGTATCACTTCTGGTCATCTTTTTAAAATATATCATTGTCGCCCGAGGGCATGGTTTATTGATTTTACAGAGAGGGGATGGGAGAAAGAGAGAAAGTAAGAGACAGAGAAACATTGATGTGAGAGAGAAACATCAATCAGTTGCCTCCCATATTGGCCCGACTGGGGATCGAACCCGCAACCTAGGTGCGTGCCCTGAGCAGGGATGCGGCATCCAACCTTTTGGTTTGTAGAGCGACGCTCCCACCAAAGGAGTGTCCTGGCCAAGGCTGTAAATATTCTTGATGATTATTTTAATGACCTCTGTCAGGACAATGTATAGCCAGGGAGCTAACGGTGTCCCCTCCTTGGGGGAATATAAAAACCCCACTGCGGAGCCCGCCCTGAGCCCAGGACCACAGGCCCAGGAGGCAGGCCCAGGACCGAGGGGCAGCGTCAGAGCGGCAGCCAAGGAAGGACTTTCGTTTCCCTGCGGCCCCTCAGCCTTCCCTCCGCGCGGCCTCTGAACGGCGGGCAGGAGGCAGAGAACAGGGCCCCTGTCCTTGGTTGGAGCTGAGCTCAGAGTCACGTGGCCATTGGGGTGCAGGGATTTCGGCGCCAGCGGCTCCAGTCCCGGTGTTCCCCGCTGGGCCCTTCCCTTCAGCTCCTGCTCTGGTCGGAGCCCTGTCCCCAGGCCCCTCACCCTGCCATCCCGTGCAACCCGGGCTGCTCTTCCTGCGGGTTCCAGTCCCACGGCTCTCGCCGCTCACGGCCTCAGGTCTCTTCTGTGGCTTTTACTGAGATAAAATGAGCCCCCAATTTTTGGTGTTCCACATAGGCCCAACAACAAACAGAAAACCTTGGGTTCCAGCATTTGTTCCGAGAAATCGATCAGGGCGTAACTGCAGAGAGCGAGATTTCGGAGATTCTCATTGTGTCGAAATGAAAGGCACTTTCTAAATCTTCGCTTGACTTTACTGCCCCCGCCCCCCACGCCCCGTAGAGAAAACAGTCTGGGCTTGTGACAAAATAGTCAAATTTCTCCCCCAAACTGCTCTCACAATGTCGGGCAGGAAGTCCAAGTTATCACTTTTTTAAACTTTAAATATTTTGTACTTTTCAGCTTCAATTGACATAGAATATTCTATTAGTATATCTGTAAAGCACAGTGAACGATTAAAAATTTACATAGCTTATTGAGTAACCTCAATAAATCTAGGACCTATCAGACACCATACGTAGTCACGACAATGTAACTGACTATGTACCCTGAGCTGTACTTACACCCTATTAATAAATATTCAGGACTGATGTTCAGTGGCAACCATCATATTTTTGTTGTCTTGGGTGGAAAGTGTAAGAGGGGCTGAGGAGGGGTAGTGCAGACATGATGAAGCGCACAGTAGGGCAACCTCAGAACGTCTCCCCGTAAATTACTAATGAATGACAAACACCAAATGGTGAGTGTGTGATGGGGACACTGGCCATTATCAAACTGCATGAATTACCAGTATGAATGTCACCAGTGTTGGGACAGGCGGTGTAGTGACCAATCCTTTTTCTTTCCTCTTCCACAGCCCTGGCTCCCTTGGTGGCCACATCCGCGCTCACGGTTTATAATGTCATTTTTGTAGCATCACATCCCAATCTGTGTCTCTAGCCCAGACATTTCTCCTAAAGGTCCGCAGACTCATCTGTCCAACCTGACACCTCAGTGCTGTTTCTCACAGACATCTTCACCTTGACCTTGTCTTCAGCTGGATGTTTGCAATGCCCACCCCTCCCCCACACAGGTCCCTGCCAGCGTCTTCCCCATCTCTGCTGAGAGAACCCCGCCTTTCTGCGGCCACAGCGCACATGTGGGGCGCCCTCCTTGTCTCCTTTCCCTCCCCCCAGGTTTAATCGTTAGGAAACGCTGTGAAATGCCTCATCCCACGCCTTCAGCACCCAGTCCCTTCCCGCTGTTCCCACCGCCCACAGCCCGGCAGCGCCCCCAGCGGCTGCAGCCGGGAACGCAGGGAGGCTTCCCACGCCTTCCCCTCCCGCCTCGCGGGTCCCTTGTCTCCTGATTCTGGGCTCAGCCCAGCAGCCAGGCTGGCCCTGTGGCCCGAGGGCTCTCTCCTGGGGAGGACCCCTCAGGGGAAGCCGCTAAGGGCATCGGCGCCTTGGCCAGGACCTTCCAGGGCTCGGCACCCGCAGACTGAGGACAGGGTCTGCAGGGGGTTGAGGACAGTGGGCGCCGGAGCAGCTCCTGCTGTAGGCAGGTGTCCCCACTTTAGAGGGGTCGGCTCTCTGAGCCCCACAGGGACACCCCTGAGGGCTGCAGGAGGGAGGCCTGGATGCTCAGGGGACTCCTTGGGGTCCGAGCGGCACCTCGTTACAATCAGGGGACTAAACCAGCCGCGGCCAGAAGCTCCAAAACGTCACATTCAGATGTGCAGGGAGCAATGCTGAATTGTGCATGGAGCTCAGTCGGTGCACAGGAAGCATCACTGGGGAGCCATGAGGTCCCCTTGTCACGTGGCACACATTCTGTCCCACACAGGTTGACGGCACACCTCATTGTACGTTTATGAACTTAAAGTGACTTAGGACCACTTAACAAATGGGGTGAAGGTGTAGATAGACTAACACCTTCCAGAAACAAAACCCCTTGGAGCTTTTAACTAAATTATTTCTCATATATATATAAAATTTTTAAATAATGCAGACATTTTCTGATGCCAGGTGCAGAAGCGGCAGTCAGGGATTCTTAAAGTCCCAAAGGAGAAGCTCGAATGACTATTGTAGCACCAAGCCTCCTACAAGGCGGCTCTGTCACACTGGAAAGAAAGTTGTCATGAAAAAATACAGCTCAGTCTCAGAACAGCTCACATCCCCCACAGCCACCGCAGGCTCAGCACGTCCCACTCTGAGGATCCCCAAAACCCACCTGGGCCCCTCGGTCCCAGTGCCCCCATGTCCTGCCCTCAGGGCCTCACCATCAGAAGCTGTGAGAGACACCTCAGAGCCCTGGGCACTGTCCCTCTCTGCAGAAGGACACAGCAGCAGAGTCACGGCGTGGGGAGCCCCCTCCTAGACTCCCGTCCACACGCTCCCCAGGGTCCCAGACGTCCCCTCCCAACACCCAGACTGACAGGCAGCCTGAGCGCGGCTCTCCCCGCCTCCGCCTGTGGGAAGCAAATGCTCTGTGAGGAGTCAGGGGGGAGGCTGGGTCCCGTGACCCTAAAGGAGGCCCACACTCCTGAAGTCCAGGGAAGGTTCCAGAACTGTGACTGAACACTCAGGGTGGGATCAGGAAAGGCAGGGACAGTACAGGTGCGAGGACTGGATCAACTACCCATCTAAATTTGTCCTCAGCAGGGACCTTCCCCTCTGACCTGTGACAGCTGGGAACCCGTCCCCATTGCTAGAGTCATCAGGTGAGAAATTTGTCCCTCATTTTCCCAGGGGTCTCACTGAAGGATCAGTGTTGGCAAACAGGCCCCCGATGGGCAGCACCCGTGTGGGTACGATGCCCACTCACGAGGCGGAGCACACGGCCACCTGGGGCTGACCCCCAGGGGGACAGGGACCTCGGCCCCACCCCTGCCCACCTGAGCGCTTCCTCCTCCACGTCACAGCCACAGCGACCGCAGCAACAAGGAGACCCAGGGCGGCAGCAGCGATGCCCACGATGGGGACGGTGGTCCCAGGAGGGGGGTCTGCGAGGGGAGGCGAGAGGCCACCCTCAGGCCCGAGTCCTGACCCCGCTCAGGGACGCCCTGAGGAGAGGCTCTGTGCCCACGCCCCCCCCTCACCCCATCGCAGCGTCAGGGGCTCGGGCAGCCCCGCGTGCCCCACGCGGCACGTGTAGCTCTGCTCCTGTCCAGGGGGCACGGCCACGGCCGCCCACGTCTGGAAGGTCCCGTCCCCCGCAGGCCTGGTGTCCACAGTCTCCGTGTCCTGGGTCAGGTCCTCCCTGTCACGCTGCCAGGTCAGGGTGATGTCCGCGGGGTAGAAGCCCAGGGCCCAGCACCTCAGGGTGACCTCACGGTCAGAGATGGGGTGGCGGGTGACGTGTGTCTCTGGAGGGTCTGAGGGGAGGGGTGAGAGAATTCAGGAACTTTACATGGTCAGGGGGACACTCCAGCAGCGCTCATGTGGCACCCTGAGAGTGGACAGAATATCTGGGATCCAGGAAGGGAGCGCACCACCCAGACAGCAGCCTCAACAGAGGCATCTGGAACAAGCTTCTATTTCTTAGAAAGCTCCAGAATCGGGGCGAGAGCCTAGGGTAGGAGCATCCAGGTCTCTAAGGGGAGACACAGACTCAGGCGGAGGCTGATGACTCCGAAAACCGCAGTCAGGCCTCCAGAGATGTCTCAGCCGCAGAACCAGGGAGCGGGTCCTGGGCACCAGGTGGCTGCAGGGTGTGAGGGAACCTCTGTGGCTGTTCCAGGGAGAGGCTGGGTCCCTTATTATCCTTTAGAGAAAGCTGGGCCCGCGGGGGAGTCACAGAGCAAGGGAACCTGGGGGATTGATTCCTCCCCGGAGCAGGAGGGGGATTCCGACACTGACCACCTCCCTCCTCTCCCTGTAGGAGCCGCCCGAGCCCGCACACCCCTCCCCGGGGGGGCCCGCGCCCGGTACCTGCTCGGAGCAGCGTCTCCTTCCCCTCCACCAGGAGCAGGTGCAGCCAGCGCTCGCAAAGGCTCTCCATGCAGAGTCTCCAGTAGTCCACATCAAATTTCTGCGCCATACTGTGATCGCCGGTGATCTGCACCGCCGTGTCGGCCGCGGTCCAGGAGCGCAGGTCCACGTTTAGAGAGAGGTAGTCGGCGCCATCGTAGGCGAGTAGACTGTACACGCGGACAAGTCGCCCGTCCGACCCCATGATGCAGCCACTGATTTCCTGGTGGGTGTGCGGCACTGACCGCACCGGGGAGGTCAGCCCCTCCTGCGTAGCCCCCGTAGCCCCGCCCCGAGGACAGGTGTTCCCCTGACTGGACCATGTGCGACCCTACCCACGGGGATTAGAGGTAAACTGAATAACAATAAGACCCCGTAAAAACCCCCGCAGGCTCCTCCCAGGTTGGGGACCGGCCTGGTCTCGCAGCCTCGAGGTGTCGCTGGGACCAGAGACTCGGCGCGATCTCGTCCCGTCCGTGGGGATGGGGGTCGTGCCCGGACCCGGGCGCGCGCGGCTCACCGTCCTCGCTCTGGTTGTACTGGACGCGCAGCTTGCCCAGGCTCCCTCGAATCGTCTGCTCGTTGTGCTTGATGTCCTGCGTCAGCTCCTCCCACAATCGTGGGTCCTCCCGCTCCACGCGCGGGCGCTCCAGCCACGGCACCCGCGGCTCCAGCCTGGGCTTCGCGGCGTCGCCGTCGAACCGCATGATCTCCGTGTCGTCCACGTTGCCGACGACGATGTACCGGGGCTTCCCGCGGCCCGGCCGGGACTCGAGGACGCTGAAAATTCTCAGGGTGTGGGGGCCTGGGTGAGCGGAGGACGCGCGCCCGGGGTCCGCGGTCGGGCGGCCAGGGGCGGGGGACCCGGGGGACTGAGAAAGGTTGAGGAGAGGAGCGAGGGAGAAAAGGAAGAGGGGCGGGTCCGAGGCGGGAAACGGGGGTCTGGGATCTGGGCCGGGGCTGCTGGAGACGCGCTGTCCCTGCGTCTTGCGCCCCCGCTGGGCCTCCTCGTTCCCCTCGGGTCGATAGCGTTTCCTCCCGAGGGGACACTCGCGGGCCCAGGTCTCGGTCAGCGCCAGGGCCCCCAAGAGCAGCAGGAGCAGGGTTTGGGGCCCCATGAACACGACTACCCGTGGAAACGGGGAAGGATTTCAGGTGTAGGTGAGGACTTTATACCCGAAACCATGGTGACGCTGATTGGCTCGTCTGGAGTTCGGTTACCCAATGGCAATGAGAATTGGGGAAGCGTCATGAGTATCCAGGTGGAGGGACCTAGGAGAGGGAGAAGGGAAATCCCCAGGGAGAAGGGAAATTCCCAGCACCGCGAGCCCCAGCCGCAGACTCGGTCCTGGGGCTGAGACCCTGAGGGTCAGGTCTGGGGACCCCGGAATTAGTCCCGACCCCTCCTCCTGCACCGAGAACTCTCTGTCCCTGTGTCTCCCTGATCCCGGCCCACGGGCTGTTTTATTCAGCGGCTCTCCAACATTTTGGCTTCAGAACGTCTCTACCGTCTTAGAAAATAGGGACAGCCTCCCAAACAATTTTGTCTGTGTGGGTTATAGCCACCAGTATTTCCCACACAAGGAATAAAATAGTTAGAAAATTTATTAATTCATTTAGAATAGCATTAATAATCTATATATGTTAACAGAAATAATTATTTATGAAAAATAACTATTTCCTAAATACAGAAGGTAGTCAGGAGAGTGGATCTGCTTACATTTTACATTTTTGTTAAGTCTCAGTGCTTGTCGGTCTGATTAGAAGACCGCTGCGTTTCAAGTTTGTTTCTGCGCTTAATGTGTTATTTTCATTGCCATATATGAAAAAGTATACAGCCTCATACAAACATGCAAGAGGAGGCCTTTTAGTAACCTCTGCAGATGAGTGTGGAGAGTCATCTTTGATCACACTCTAAAGCTACACAAGCGGTAATTTCTGAAAAGCTCTTGGCAAAGTGAAACCTGAAACAGTGCTATTGAATATTTCCAAAATATTCATTGTTACAATACTTGAGTGGGTCTCGTACTAATGCATGATTACTTAAAAATAATGCACTGTTTCACTAAGTCATAGAGATCTCCCGGTGTTGAGGTGTGTAATTACACTACATCAAAACATCACGTTTGTTAACGTTACCGCAGGTCCCACTGGAAACGTCTGTCAGCTCTGGGAAGCTGTCTGGCTGCCGTGGTGAGACCCAAGTTTTCCAAAGTCCTGGTTTTCTCCTGAGAACTTCCCTAGAGCAATTCATTTGCTTTCATTTAGAATAATTTTTGATAAATATAAATTTATAGCCATATTATTCATTATTAAAATTTTACTTCCTCTTGTTAAAGAAGGCCCTTTAACATTTCTTGTCATACTGTTTGGTGGTGATAAACTCCTTTAGTGTTTTTCTTGTCTGGGAAGCTCTTTATCTGCCCTTTAATTAAAAAGGAAAGCTTTTCCAAATCTCTTTTGACTCAAAAAGGTTTTGTTGAGAAATCAGCTGACAGTCTTACAGGAGCTCCCTTATAGGTATCTAATCGCTTTTATCTTGGTGCTTTTAAAGCTCTCTCCTTGTCTTTAACCTTTGGTATTTTAATTATGTTGTTTGCTGGTGTGGCCTTTTTGGTTCATCTTGATTGGGACTCTGCACTTTCTGGACTAGTACATCAACCTCCTTCACTAGGTTAGGGAAGTTTTCCAAATTATTTTTTTAAAAATAGGATTTCAATAGTTTGATTTCTCTCTTTCAGGAACTCCCATGATGCGAATATTGGCACGGCTGAAGTCCTTCCAGAGGCTCCGTATACTATCCTCATTATTTTTTTGCATTGTTTTTCTTTTTGCTACCTGGTTGGGTGTCTTCTGCTTCCTTATTTTCCCAATCTCTTATTTCACCCTATGCTTCAACTACTCTACAGTTGATCCGAGTAATGTATTCTTCACTTCAGTAATTAAATTGTCATCGATAATGTTTTCTACCTCCATGTTGTCCCATCTCTTCGTTGAAGGTCACACTAACTTCACTTACTATTCCCCTAAGGTCTTTGAGCATCCTTACAACCAGTGTTTTGAACTCTGCATCTCGTGGAGTGCTTGTCTCCATTTTGTTTAGTTCTCTTCCAGGAATTTTGTTCTGTTCTTTCATTTGGCACATGTTTCTTTGTTTCCCCTGTGTTTATTTCTATGGGTCAGGTAGAGCTGCTGTGTCTTCGGGTCGCCGTAGAGTGTCTTTGTGTAGTAGGTGTCCCGGGCGGCCCCGTGGCGCAGCCTCCCTGGTCACGTGACCTGGGCACTCTAGGTGCGCCCCATGCACTTGTGTCGTGATTGCTTTTGAGAATGGGAGGGATTTGCCCCCAGGCTGATCGGCTGTGAGGACTGGCTGCAACCACCACGGAGGCTCTGGTGGCTGCTGCGTCCCTCCCTAGAGTGTGTTGCCGTGGAGGTGGTGGGTGGTGCTTTGCTGAGACCTGAAGCTCTCTATCAGCTGCACTTGCTGAGGGACCTCTTGGGAGGTGCAGGCCATGGTCGGCCACCAACTGTGCTCTGTCCTGAGCTACCTGGCATGAGCTACAAAGCAATCTGCAGGTGGCTACTACTTGTGCTGGGCTTGGAGGTGCCTGGGAGAGGCCGAGCTGCCAACCAGGGCCAGTGCCGCTAGCACAGGGCCTGGGGCCATTTACATGGAGACACATGGCATGTCTAGGCCAGGTGTTGCTTGTTTGAGAGATTTTAAGAAAATCCACAACATGAGCCAAAATAGGCTGTCTGTATGGAAATATCACTAGAAAGGGCCATGGTGGGCCCGCCAGTTGGGGGGAGGGCGGGTGAGATTTCAGAGAATCACTGGGGCAGGGGAAAAATGTATGAGCCAGACTGTGGGAGACTCAGATATGGAAACTGCCTGCCAACTCCGAGTGCAGAATGGCCCATAAAAGGAACAATGGCCTCTGCCAGTACTAGGGTCTGGGAGGAAGCTGCCCCTCAGCTCCCGCCCTGATGCCAGACAGTTCAGTTGCTCCCTGTATGTTCCTGGTGCCTTCTGAGCTGCTGTCCCAGCACTTGAGCTTAGAGTAAGTCTGTGCATGCGGGCCTTTAAGAGGAACTGCCAGCAGCCTACATCACCCTCAGCCGCAATCACCACTGGTTTTTACAACCAGAAGTTGTGGAGGTTTGTCTTCCTGGCACTAAAACCCTGGGCTGAGGAGCCTCACGTAGGGCTGGCATTCCTCGTTCCTCAGGGGGCAGCCGACATAACCCTTTTGATTTTAATCTGCCACATGTAGGTATGGGACCAGCCCACTCCGCAACTCTACCTCTCCTACCAGTCTCACTGTTATTTCTTCAGTTTCGTAGCTGTAGGGTTGCTGTTCAGCTAGATTCCAGGCTGTCCTGAATGATGGTTGTTTGCAGTGTAGTTGTAATTTTGATTTGGTTGTGGGGTGATGGGAATACTGCGTTTACCCACACGGCCATCTTGAACAGAAGCCAAAATATATTAAAAATTCGACTTAAGGATGATGATTTAGCAATGATAATAACTTTCTTTTCAAAAAGATTTTATTTATTTATTTTTAAAGATAAGGGAAGGAGGGAAGGGGAAAGAGAGGGAGAGAAACATCAGGATGTCATTGCCTCTTGCACACCCCTAACTGGGAACCTGGCCCGCAACCCAGGCATGTGCCCTGACTGGGAATCGAACCGGCAAAACTCTGGTTCGCAGGCCAGCACTCAATTCACTGAGCCACACAAGCCAGGGCAATGAGGATAATTTTCAATCTGTTAACCATGTTGTTAAAGTGACACTGGTTAGTTTTCCCGTCTGTGACTGGGCCGTGGAGAGGAGCGCCTGCTACTGCCGTCGGGTGTCCCAGCCCCCGTTGCTGCTACGTTCACCTCCGTGCAAATGTTGGCACCGTGAAAAGGCTAATGATGCCCTTAATCCTATGAAAGTAGTTTTACCTTGTAGATCCTGTGAAAGGCTCTTAGAAACTTCAAGGGCTCCACAGACCGCACTGTGAGAACGGCCGCTCTGGAGATACCGGGGGAGCCTCCCCACCCCCACCCCCCCCGCCCTTGTGCCCCCCTCCCTCCCTAGGATCCCTCTCCCCAAGGGGGCCCTGCCTCCCACACTCTGCTGAGAGCGTTGCCCTGGGTTCTTCTAGAAGAAAGCTCAGCCCCTGGAAGTGAGATTTCAGAGAGTGCCCTCAGTCTGGAAAGGGAGGTGTGGGGACAGGTGTTTCCCCTTTGCACCTGGGAACAGTCTGTGCCCGAAGCCACCGGACCCACGGGCACCTGGGTTTTTTGTTATATGGCAGTTCAATATCTACTCACGTCCCAGATAGAAACCTGATGTCGTCTGTCAGAGAAGTGATATCGTCCCCTTCAGTTTTCATGGGTCTAGTGTTCTGACTGGAGACCTAAATAATATGAAGTGCAGATCTGCCCAATAGAATGTTCTGGACCAAGGGATTGTTCTGTGTCTGCAGGTCCCACACGGCGGCCACTGGCTGCAGGTGGCTGTTGAGCACTTGAAGTGTCACCTGTGTGCAGAGCAGTTGAACTTTTAATTTTACTTACTTTTAACTTAAAAGCCATATGCCTTTTGTAGCTACCATATCAGACAGCACCTATGCAGGAAGTATTTAGTTTGTATTCTCAGCCCAAAAGCTCTGTGTGACTCATAGATTGATGTATATTAAAATTTTCTTCATATGAAAGTCACAGATCTTCATTTGTGTATGTGGTTCTTAGATAAATCCCCAAGATAGAGTTTGCCCCCAAAAGTGTACTGAATATGCACTTAACCACTAGAGTGTACAGATGTTAACCAAAACGTGATGTAACGCCCTAAGGTTGTAAATGATCATAAACGCTCCTCGCTGGAGCTAGTCCTCGTGCATGTCACTTAGGGGCTCTTGGTGGTACTTTTGAAACGAGGTCAACATAAGCAGGCACCTAAGTCTTTCCTTAACTCAAGAGGAAATATTTATTGAACATACCACATATTAAATACGTGTAGGCCCCGTACATACTAATAAAATGGTAAGGCAGAAGATGCAAACGTTGGAGTTCCATCTTAGAATTCCCTACCTACTGCTTCTGCCCATATTTCCCCCAGAATTCAAGC